GGCCAAACAGAGTTTTTGGCTTTGGTGGGGTTTTTGGCCAAAAACCGTTTTTGGTTTCCAGCCGAACGGGCCCTTATATAGGTAAATACAAGAATCTTGTAGTACAAATAGCGGTGTGCAAACCTACGACCCAACTTGAAAACCCATGAGAAAAACCCATGAAAACCCAACTTGTTTTTAGTTTTTTTTGACGGGTTTTTTTGATGGGTTGCCCTCAAAAGGTTTGAACACCCCAGCCCCCATCACAACCTAAGACAGTACAGTCACAGCTCCTGTCATCACTTGATGCCTTGATTTTACTTCACATCGCTTGTCTTGCATCCACCACATCCATGACTTTTCTTCAAAATCTACTTGCTTGTTTGATGAGGGTGTCCCTCATGAAGTACAATGCTGATGCCGATGCCAACAACAGCAATTTAGACAAGAATATTTGAATCAAAACAATCTCTGACTGGTAGAAGTCTACTCATTCTCAAAAGTTGATTTAGACATGTTTCTCTTTGAAATAGAACGATCTCTTTTGATTTCTTCATATTGCAAGAGTTGAAACAAACTAAAGAAACCGATCTTATATAGCAGAGTTTAAAAAAAGGTATTCAAAGATAATCGATTAAAATAAAAAAGATTGAAACAAGTCACTCTCTAGAACTAACTGCAATTTTTGGTTGATCGATTAAGGTAAAAAAATGAAACTATTTGATAATCCAATAATGGAGCTGTGGATGATAAAACATTATCACCTATTCCTAGTATCACTTCTTCACGAGGAAAATGATAAATTGAAAGGTTGAACGTTATGAAGAAGAAGTTGACCGAGATCAAATTTATAATAATGATGAACTTGTTAATCAAATCAAATCTAATTGTGTTATATCTTTTACATAAAAAGGTTTTTGCAGCTCGGCATTCATCTTTGAGATTGTGATGTTTTCTTTTGTGGCCAATTTGGTAGCTCGATCAGTCGTCATCATTTTGGACATCTCTTAGGAGGAGTTGAAGCTAATGCGTTCTTGAGATTTTGTAGCACGAGTTCCAGGAGTTGATGGGGATGTAAGACTGTTTGGTGGAAGGTTTCTGGACAGTTCGGAGGTGTTGTGTCGGCAAGGAAGGGGGATGTTGGACTCAGCTAATTTTCTTTCTTTGATGGGTGATCAGATCTAGCCAATTTCAACCCATGAGAAAAAACCCGTCAAAAAAACCCAAAACCAAGTTGGGTTTTCATGGGTTTTTCTCATGGGTTTTCAAGTTGGGTTGTAGGTTTGTACACCGCTAATTATGAGAGTTTCCTAGAAGTGTTTTGCTGGGTTCATGTACTCATTTATTGGGTTTTGAGAATCTTGTGAGTTGATTTGTTGGGAACTGGTTAATTATGTTTAGGTTTTTTGATTTTGAAATTGATTGTCTTAGTGGTGGTACATAAAAGGTTTCTTTTTTTTTGTTTTGAGCTTTTTTGTAGGATTTGAATTGATGCAATAATGTAGTATTGGATCTGAGAGTTGATGTGTTTCTTTTTTGAAGCAAATAAGATTAAAGAATAGAGAACAGAGAAAGAATAGGAATGGATTTGGTTCTGATTATTGATTTGTTTGGTGAAAAGGAAAATTACAAGATTAAATGGATTGATTGAAAAATGAATTGATTTCAAAGTTGTTCTGGTACAGAATAATGAATAAACCCATGGAGAAAAGGATTATAAAAGTTTCAAAGTGATGTAAAGAAAACACAAGATGATTGAAGGAACAGAAATCTAATTGAATTAGAAATTTCATGATAAATACAACTTCAAGGTAATTTGATTTGACTGAACAGAATAAAAAACATCCAAGGAAGATCCAAGAAATTAAAAGAGTGATCAGAGGAGCATGAGCATGGAAAAGATATAGACAAAGATAGCTTGTATGAATCATGTGGTTTGTGAGTTTTGGTTCTTCACCAAAGCTGCTGGAAGTGGCTTTGCCTCATTGATGTTGACTCAAGACTCTCAGTAGGCTGAGGAATTACTTTGAGAAATCTATAAGCTGGTCAAGATCAAGCTGGTTCCATGGAAGAGCAATTTCTAATAACATCCTAAAGCTCTTGTTGTGGAATTGTATACACACATGAATCAGGTGCCAAGGTGACCACAGATTAGAGTGGGGTGAGTTTTGTTATCCAAGTTAAGTGAACCTTGAACTTTTGGTTAACTCTTTGTTGGACTTATTTGCAGCAGTCGGTCAATTCAAGGGAATCACACTTGCATTGATGATTTCTGACATGACAGTCTTTTTTCTTGTGTTGCTGTGTGGATATCATTCCTGGTTATCTTGGCATCCCACGTAGTATACCTCTTACCGGTATGAAAATTTGCACATCAACAATCAGCAAGCGTGAATTTTGGACAGGTGTGTGCAGTTCTAGCCAGGGGGCAAAGTAAGATGTGATGTTGCCAGATCACAGAGCAAACAATTACAGCCGTTATCACAATTAACGGTAGAATTCTGTGATCATGCGTCGCTCTCGAGGTTAAATCTGGAGAGGTCAAAACTGGATTAAACCCAGTTTTGCACCCAAATGAACAAGGAGGCCTGGGAGACCTGTCACTTTGAGCCGGCTTTAACTAGTTTTTGACTTTTAGATTAAATTCCGATGCAACACACCAATGAAGAATTCTACCGTTAATTGTGATAACGGCTGTACACAAAAGCTGGGCGACATTCATTATCAAAGTGACTTCCTTTCATTTCAAGCAAGTTTGGTCGAGTCAAGTCACGTTGTGGGGGATGATGGTAGGGAGGTTTTGCAAATGTGGATCATACGTTGCGGAAGCAGCGATTTCAAACTCATGGATAACAGACAAAAATCACGGAGCTTTAAATTACTGAGGAAGACGATAAAACAAAAGTTTACAACACCACGACTATATACAGGAGGAATTTGAAAAGAGGAATCGACTTGAGATGGATGTAGGAAACCAGCGAAGCTTGCAAAGCTCGGAAGAGCAAATTCAATGCACGCATTATAGATCTCTTCTTTATTCTTGGATTGACGCCAAGCAGGTTGCAACAGTGTGGGCCTGGAAAGATCAAATGATCAAGTGTTTGCGAGACACCCAGGTCACTGAGCCCTTTGGTAAGTCAATTCGTTTTTAAGTCTTTAATATGTAATGGGGAAAAAGCGAGACAATGGCTCAACGTTCAGCTTTTTATACCAAGGGAGGTTTGGTCGGGTTGGCGGCAGACTTGTGGGTTAGACAAGCCCGCAGCAGCCCGGATTTTGTACGAAGTTCGCAGACTCGTCTCGCGCCTTGTCACTTGAGCATTTTACCCGTGACATCGATTTCATTTGCAAAGTATGTGTGACCCTTTAAAGATTCGAATGCTTCATTCAGCTCATTGATGCAGGGCAAAGTATTCCGGTAACGCTGTGCCAGATCTTATTCAGTACCAGATGCCTCCTTCAGCTCAGCAGCTAGAATCTTCAATACTTCGTCTTCATCAGTCGAGTCGGGAAGAGTTGACGTGAAGCGGGCAGGGAACCGTTGATGGTACTTCCACTTCAGAAGCTCTTTCAATGTTCCAGTCGAATCAATCGATGCAGATGCTTTGTCTCTCGATTCTCGCAGTTCTGTCAAAGCCGAACATACGAGGTAAATTGAGTAAGCGCTTCGAACATATACATAGAAGCAAGCCAGGTAGCCAGACTGCTACTTACCCGTAAGATAAAATGCTAGCAAACCAGAGAAAACGCCAAAGATCGGATCAGCAGATCTGCGACAAAGGTTTGGGAATAACCCGCTAGATGAATGATGAGGGAAACGAGAGGATGTATTCAGAGGGTCTATGTATTCACCTCGAAAGCAGATAAGACATCTTGATTTCCGATTGATTTTGTTAATTCCTAGGCGTGAGCAGAGGCAACCAAAGCACAGCAAGACATCATTCGCCACAAGATGTAACTCGGCCCCGCGGGTTACGCTAAGTACCCGTGTCTGTCAGTGGGCGAAACAGAGACATGGACCACTTCATGCCACAAGAGGTTTTGACGAGTCAACTTTGCAAGTGGCTCCTTTTGACACCTTCAAAATGTAGATCTCATGATGGGAATCAGAATCACCACAAATCCAATCCCAGGTTCGAGCAGGGATTTCAAAACGGTGAAGAGATTTTTACACTCAACCGTTTTACACTCGAAAAGGAGTGTAAAACCGGAGGAGTGTAAAAATGCACAGTGACTGGGGTAAAATACAGCTGTTTCAACAAAGATCAATTTTTTTTGAAAATCTCGCCAATGTGCAAAACCCGGGTTTTGTCCTGTTTTGTCCCTCACCCAATTCTGTCTCTCCGCTAATTGGAAGAATACAGAAAAGAATAAACCTGTAAATTGAGTTTTGTCTCTAGTTTTACCCGCTGCGGAGACAACTTTCTCCAAAAGAAGTTGTCAACCTTTCTTGAAACGGCTGTACAATTTTACACTCGTTCTCTCCCAAAATCTGGAGTGCAAAAAGGTAATGTGTAAATCCTTGAGTGTAATTTTGTAACCCGCCCCGCCAAACATTCACTTTTACACTCGATATTTTTACACTTATAATGCAATGCAAATACATCAGGTGCAAAATTCACTTTTGGGTGGCAAAGCCCTAGTTTTGCACACCAACCGGATTACACACAATAAGCAGTGTAGGGGCCTGGATTGCAAATTTGTAAAAGTTCCCCCCTGAAGTTGAATTTTACACAACAACAACTTATAAAAAAAGTTATAATTTTTTCAACTGTTTTTAAGTTGTGCGCTTTTAAGTAAAGGACCTCTGTGCAATATAATCTCTCCCTTAAGCGCGCAATTTCCACCACTTAATTGGCCACTTTGCATTTCTCAAATGGCCGCCATTGAACTCATAAACAAGAACCAAGAATAAATAAAAAAAATGACTCCCGCGCTTACCCTCGCAATCATGATCAACAAAAGAACGCAAACAAGAAATACACATTCAAGACATGAAGCATGAAATCAAAACAAGATAACTAGACTCTTGCCACTTTTGGCTTCCTCCCCTTAGCCTTGGGCTTAGGCTTAGCTTTAACCTTAGCTTCAACCTCCTCCCCCTCAGCACCTTTTCCCATCTCGACAAACGGCAAATTCGGTTTAATGTCTTGAAGTACCTCCCCTTTGGAAACACCTTTCTTGACCCTTGAAGCTCGCTTACTTGCCTTGATCGCATCTTTCTGAGGTGAAGGAGATGGTGATTTGACTGGGCTCGATTCTGGTGCTGGTCGCTTGATACGCAGGCGGATGGCACCCTGAGTTGGCTCAGTGAACTTGATCCCGCCTTTTGAGGCCCCGTCTCCACTGGAAGCAGTTGGTTGGGATAAAGCTCGACCATTGGGATGTTCATTGGCTTCCGCACCATTACTCTTATGGTGAATGATGGCTGGGGGACCTGCCGACGAAAGAATCAAAAAATTAACGGCGGAGATCGGAGATCATGTGAGAGAGACACACTTACAAGTGGAGGAAAAGGCTTCCTTTGCCTTTTTACTCTTATCTTCCAAAGAAAGCTCTTCCATTCAAAGGTGACCATCAACTGGAGGGCCTGTTCAATTAGAAAGACGACGTCAGGAGCCAGGGGATGAGATTGAACTAATTATTGACAACGTACATGTGGATGCAAAGGCATGCTTTGCCAAGTCCCCGATCGTTGTGGTGGGTACACCAACATTGGCTGGTACAGCAGTCACAACATCTTCTTCAATTTCGTCTTCTTTGTTTTCGTTTTCGTCTTCTTCTTCTTCTTGATTTTCTTCTTCTTTACAAAGTTGCTCAATTTCCTCTTTGACTCCATCTAAGTCCACGGCGGAAACGAAAGGTAGATCACCATGAGAGTCAGGATTCTTCTGACTGATCTTGGCTATATTCGATTTGATGACCTTCTGTTCATCCGAGCTGGCCTTGCGAGAGTAAACAAGCCAACTTGTCATTGGTTGAGCGCCGGCGATTAAGCTGAGCTCCCTTCCAAGGAGTTGGGCGCGACCATCGTCCTTGCAATCGTCATAAAACCATACTCCTTGAGCTCCATCCACGTGCCTTACCACCTTGCACCAATAGTGACAATAGCCCCAAAACCCTCGCGAGACAATGTGATAATCGACATCGTTGAAGGTGAGCGTTTCCGGCCACTCCATATCCCCCATGAAGTTATCGCGATCCTCTTCCTTAAGACCAGCCGCGTTGGCAAGGTGAAAGTAGATGTTTGTACTGTTTGAAGTGAAGTCCAACCGGTTTCGCTCGAATAGTTGTGGCAGTTCGTTCGCACTCTCAGTCACCCCAGGCAACTCTTCATGGTCATCATCAGGATAATCCCGGCGGACCGCAGCCTGCTGTTTGCGATTGTTTCGACAGTTTGGGCAGCACCAAGGGCTGGTTGAGTAAAGGCCTTCGGTGTGCCATTGGTATAGCAGAGCAGTGATGTCATGGTATCGTAAGTTGGCATCACGGAAAAGGTCCGAAGTGATGGAGACCGAAGTTCGGGTGACCGACTCGTTAGGTTGATGAGCTGGCTCCAGGGGACATTGATAGTCGCGAATCATTTGATAGGAGAAGTGACGTCCAACCAAAGTCGGGAGATTATGTTTGGTGGCCAGTATGTAATCGAGGAACAAATCTGCGGAACAGAACGTATTGGTAACAAATGAAACATCTGCAATCTTCTGTACGGCTGATTGTAATGACTTGAGTCCACGAGAAAGGACCGACTTGACGTGAGTAGATTGATGCAGTTCGGCTGAGGCCCTGGAAGAATAGTGTCTGATAAGTTTGGATGCCAAGTCCTTCCCTTTACCGTTGGATCCGGTCATCCACAAAGGTGAAAATGTGGGATAAAAGCTTTCTAGTGAAGCCGTCTCCCAACATCGGTTTCGCTTGCCGGGGTCGTTGCTGGCTGCGTAAGATTGGTAAGAGGAGTGAGGGTCGCGGTTCATGTTGAGAGATCCTGCAGGTCGACCGGCCTTTTTAGGACGTATGAGCGCATCAGTGGTATCCGGAGGTCGTCCATCATTGGCCTCCGGTTTGCGTCGGGTTCTCTCTTTGGACCAACCCAGCGTTTTGACCACGGAAGTCCAGTTGCTTCCATACTTGACCGATATGCCACGAAGGATCTGATTGAAGTCTTTCTTCAAAGACTCGGTGAACAGGAGCAATTGTACAAATCCCTGGACAATTGTGCAGTGTCCCGAACTACACAAAGAGAGGTCCAAATCAGCCGGACTTGATGCAAAAGAGAGATAAACAGATGATTGACTCACGTAAGGATGTAATACTGTCGGTGCATGGATTCCTGACCGTTGGTGGTGTCAGGAACCTCAGCCATAAGGGGATCTTCATCTGGTAACGGAGGGTCATCGAGTGGTAGGCGCTCTCGACCACAGAAGAGCATACTGTGGATATCGGATGTATTCCACCAGTCGACCCAAGCCTTACTTTTGGGGAAAAGTCGCGCCATTTGATCGAATTTCTGTCATAGTGTTAAACCACCGTCCTTGTTCGGTTCGAGCAGGTCGAGCGCAAGCCGTTCGAATTCCGACTACGAAGTGAGGACGATGAGTCGATGGTATGTATGAGAGGCGGAAGGTGAAAGTGGATACTACTTACCACTCTGCTGGCGTCCACAATGTTACGATTCTTCTTGACACGAGTGATAGACTGTCGATAGTGCTCGTGACAGCCTTTCAACTTACTCAAGGCCTTCGCAGGATCGTATTCGTTGAACACCTTCATGTAGGCGCTCACGAATCCCTTCTTCTGGGCCGTGGAGAAGTCGACGACCTGTTGTACCAACAGATCACGCTCGTGGTAGGTGAGGTTGGTGGTCGAGATTTGCTCCAGAAGCGTGGTGAAATGAGATTCATAATGTGATTCATCGAGCCCCCACATCCACGTAAGTTGAATGGGCACCCAGCAATGCATGATATCGCTATACATGGAGGTGGTAAGAAGATAACCGTGGTTGAAGAATTGGTAAGTCACATCGGATAGTAGTCCTCCTGAGTAAACCCGGTTATCTTGATCCCGGCAAACGAGTTGTTCGGCCATCCATTCCGATTGGTATGTGATGTGCACGTTGGCACCCGAGAGCGATGTGGATATCAATCTGAGGCTGTTCCTAGGAGAGAGAGAAAGGCGGCCAGGAATCAGCAGAGAATTGGAAGAGACGAGATAATCCAAGTGATGCTTACCTGCCCCAGTGCATCAAATCCATGATCAGGCGGTCACCCCCACCGTGGCTCTCCTTTTCGGGCATCAGGCCCTTATCAATGAGCACCTTGTGTCGCAAATATCCGAGGCGACCTCCATTGCCAAAGGCAGGATGAATCTCGACTACAGGTGCAGTGACCGTCTGTCCAGCACCTGGTTGCCCTACCTGAATCGAGCAGAACAGGAACAGTTAGACTTCGTATTGTTTAGGTAAAATAAGACACCATTCGTTCACTTACCTTGAGGACCAAAGGTCCAGCCTTTGGGTTGCTCACTAATTGTTCTGTGAGCACACGCATGGCGAGAGGATCCGCCTTCTTCGAAGAGGGCCAGACATGTCGATGAGTTCCCGAGTGCCTAAGTACACCCCAACCACTCTTCTTTTCGATATCGATTTGACAATCCGAGTCAGGGCATTGGGTCCATATGTGATTGCTGTCACACTCGATGGCAGAGCATTTGGGATGTCTGAATCGAGAAGGAACAACGTCAGCGTCAGCCAAATGCGAAGGAGGGTTACACTGAGAAGGCATGAAATATACACAAAGGAGAAGTAGAAAATTTCTTTACTTACTCTTGAATAAGTTATGCGGCTTTGCCTTCAGCCGTTGGTGGTGGAGCCGCATATTCACAGAAGTCGTCCTCGCAATGTAAGACCCCAAGGCATTTGAACCAAATCGTCTTCCAAGGACCGTCCTTCGCGCCATGGGTCTTTTGAGTGTGGGGGTAGGCAATGTGGCCAAAGTTCGTTATTTGATCGGTAGGCTCGCGAACAAACACAGTTTCGCCGTTGGGGTAGATTGGATAGCCTTCGGCATCGCAGGTGGACCCGTGATCAATGAACGTCTTGAGTTCTCCGGTAGCGGGTATCGGAATCTTAAACTTCTTGCCGGTCTTCTTGGGGCGATTTCGTTTCTTCTTCTGCTGTCCAGGAGATGAGTTGACAACCGAGTCACTGGCTAACTTGATTGGGTGGTCTTGGTTGAGGATTGCTTCGTAAATTTTGGCTGCCGAAATTTGAGAAGGATCAGGGGTACCGGTTTGAAGATCGAGATGACTACTAGTATGTTCTTCGGACATGGTATCACAGAGTGTAAGTGAAACAGATGGTTTGGATGTAGGGCTTTGGTAAGAGATATAGATTTGATTGTTGGGGTAGAAACGGAAGAATAGGATGAAAAGGTAAACTCGGTAGAGTTGGACGATTTGGTAGACAAAATTGAGGACAGTGAGCTCTCGTTCGTAGGTTTGAGACTCTGGGAATGAGACAGAGGGAGGACGGATCGATGAATAAGAGCCAGGTGGTTTGGGTTTGCCATTGGGGTGACGAGCTGGTGAACGCAGGAGGAAACGATCCATCGTGAGATGGATCTGAGATGTCAGCTCGAAATACAAAAGGTCTTCTCAGAATGGAAAAGGGAAAGGTTGACGGTGATGAGATCGCATCCAGACTATCGTGGCTTTTATCGGCTGGTCGGTAGGTGAGACCTTCGTTATATCAGACGTGACCTTCATAAGATTCGTAGAGTGTTGTTTGAGGTTGTTGGGTGCCGATGAAAGGGCATATGCAGGGAAGGAAGGGCAAGACTCACATAGTTAGGCCGGTCGGATACTGCGCAGATACCGTGCCGGTGGGGTGCCTTCGATGGGGTGCAAAAGTGTACTTTCGTGGTGATCTTGTGAAAAAAAACATCCAAGGGTCATACGTCCAACTTTGAGTGTAAATGATTTAGGGAGTAAAATTAGAATTTGGGGGCTTGTACGGATTTTTGCCCCCTAGATTATTTGCCCTTAATATGATATGTAAATGTTGATGTGTAAAATTCAATGTTTGACGTGGTGATTTACAAAATAACACTCATGGTTTTACACGTGACTTGTTTGCACTCATGAAATCGGGCGGGATTCAGTGTAAAATTCTATGTTACCCTACTTCGTGTAGATTTTTACACTCGTCCACATTTACACTGCTTATTGAGTGTAAATGGATGAGTGTAAAAATCTATCAACCCATTTCAAAAAGGAAACTTGAGATGGAAGAAGTCCATGTCCAAGAATCAGTGAAGTGCTTACATGCCTTTGTGTATGATGAGGCTAACATTAAGAATAAAAATTGAAAATGCATACAATGAAATTTTCACGGAGAAGAAAGATTTACTTCATATATAAAGACTCCTTTAATTTTGTGAAAAACACTATATTTGTATTTTCCTTATGACAGTCACAATGTAATAAATCAGGCCTCATGCAAGAACATAAAGCTCATGAACTACAAGCTAACGCAACATATGCACTCTTGTGGTTCTCACCAGAGGAAAATTGAAGTAGAAACATGCTTCCTGTGACCTTGCAGGTTTGTGACACTTGCAATGTTTTCCAAGCTAGTGATATACTACATGTAGTATAGTTTTGGAATTCTGAAGCCTGAACTTCATTGATGAGCTTGGAGTTTTTATCATGAGTGTCCAATAGCAATTGCCTATGAGCCTCAAAACATGGACGTCATGAGATGATTGAAGAACCTCCAAGCTGTGTTATGGGCATAGTCAAATTTATTGTTTTGGATTTTCAACTCAAATGATGAACCATGTGGAACATGAACACTTGAGGTATCCATTTCTTCTTCTGAAACCAAGTTTACCACCAAACATCTTTAAGCTCTACACATCTCATGAATATTCACTCACTGGTACTCATATGACACCATACTCTTTCTTCTATGTCAATTTTCAAACATACACCATTGAGGGTGACACTTCCAATATTTTGGGACATATGAACAGAATCCTTCATACACCTATTGCATGGTTTGTGATACCAGTTAACACTTGTACTGATCATGATCCTCTCTTGACCTCGATGGTTCTTGTATGTCCACTCTTCAGACTTATTCCTAACAGGTGATTCTGTGCTTAGGGTGTGCCTAGTCAATGGATAAGACATCAAGCCTATCTTATTGTCTATTCATAAACCCTCAGCACCTCATAGCTTCCCATTTTGTTTTTCTCTTGATCCATGGTATGCAGGACTGAGTACCCACCCAAACATTTTGTGCTAACCAAATTGACCGTGACTTTTGTCTTTTACACCAAACTTCCATACCTTACAGTACTGGGAACACCAAAGAAATGAAGACGACAGAGTAGAATCATTTATGTACATTTATTATTGAAATTAGATCGAACAAGCCAAACACATTCCAGTCACACTCAACACCTCACAAAATGACAAATCACACAGAGGCACAAGAGGAAGCTCCCATTAACTTCATTTATCTGGTCTATCTGATATAGTACGTAGGGTGAATCGCACATCCTCTCCAGAAATCTAATGTGGTGGGCAGGTTTGTCAACCTGCTAATCAGAGTGGATCGGATATGAGCCATCTATTACACAGGGGATGATATCGAAAAGACTGAATGTAGCTCACCCGGATCAGTCGTGATAGCACAAGATGTCATAGGTTCCGATTTGCTAATGGACGTTGTATGAAGAGGAGTGATCGGAAGCCTGGTGCCGGATGATTCGATAGATTGAGATGCAGGATAGCTACAATTTGATGAGATATGAGTGGAAAAGTCCGAGCTGATGAGGTCAGAGAGGGTAGAGGAGGAAACTTCCAGGTTGTGCTGGCTTGTTGGAAGGCTTGTTGGCGCCACGTCGGGGCTAAAGGAGCAAGGTGTCGATGAGCTGGTGGGTTCTGGTGAAGAGGTGCGATAGTAAGAAGGGCGATGAGGCGTCGGAGAAGGGTAATGGCGTGTATAAGAAGGGGAGGCTGAAGGATGCCAATATGATCCTGAGTGCCAATGAGACTCTTGTTCCCGGCGCCGAGCGGCAGACTCTAATAATTTCTTGAGGTTCACTTGATTCCTCTTTATTCGATCGGCTGCTTGAGCTGGAAATTTAAGAGTTCATCTCAGTCAAGGTGGAATGCGCTTTGATATCTTGTACTTCTTGAGAAATGAAATGCTAAACAGAGTTCTTACCATGTCTTGAGGTACTGGTCCCGGCATGCAGTCCAAGGTGAGATTTCGCATGAGACAAGCCTTGAGATTTTTCAACAGACTGTGGATGTCCGCCGCCATGTAGCTTCGTCTGTTTGTGTGCTGAATTTGCTTGCGTTGGGGGTTGATATGTGATGGTGATGATAGTAATGAGCACAATACGTATGATGACGGTTGGTACCATCCTCACTTCATACGTATACCAAGTTATGAAAGTGTTATGATGGAAAGAAACTATTGAACAGAATTAAATGGATTGTAAAGGTCGATGCGCTTACCTGACTCGACTGGCGACGATGGTGATCAATGGATCTCTTGTTCCAGTAGCGTTGGTTCACGACGCGGAAGGAAAACCAACCGAATGCTGTCACTACACCCAACAGCTCACCAATGTTCGCTCTTGGGCATGGGGGTTTGAGGTCCCATTGTTTAACAAATTCAATCATGTATGTACGTCCATTTCAATGCGGCTCGACATTTGAGAAATTAGTTATGACTTCAACTTCATCCGCATCCGACATTATGAGTAAGGCAAATTGGCTTTCAAAACATTTTTAATGTTCGAAGAGCGATGTAAAGACCCTCGCTCCCATCGTATATTTTCCATCTCCGGCGAACAATGAAGAAAACGCAGTCTTGAGGTCTTGCCGCAATCAAGTACTACATCATGACATGACACTTTTCCAGCGCCGCATGTTTTCACCTGTCCTTGCGACTGTACACCCATCCCCAAAATCTGGAGCGTGGGGTCAAACATTCGTTGCGTGATTGTTTCGGAAAGTCGGTCAATAAATTGAAATGACACTAGCGTCCGGCAAGGTCAGGTGCGGTCTGGCATTCTGGCGAGCTTTCCTTTTTGGGAACTTTAGTCAACCACTCGATTGTCCCAGGGATTTCGTCCGAGCGTATGGCTGTGTCTGATGGCGCGCCAATCACACTAACCCCAGTAGCAGAGCAGCGAAGTCTACGTGAAACCAACGCCTTGCTCAGGAGCCTTTCCTAGAGCGCTTCAATGGTATTTGTACTCGAGGACTTTGTCCGTCGAGAAAGAAAGATCAAGCAAGACGCAACCAATAATGAAAGTCGCCTCCTGGATCCCTCTCATCATCGCATCGATCGCATTCAGCATTCAAGGTCTCCCCTCAGCGTACAAATCAAGTCTCCTTGAGGTTCCGGATGAAGCGCAAGATATCATGTCATGGGCCCGTACAGACCCCATGCTAGAGCCAGTTGAAAGGAAAGGCAACGTTGGTGGAGCAGTGGATGCAGTGGAGCCTACCGATTCGAAGCAACATCTATATCCCTGCCGAATCCTTAGCAAGCGGGCATCAAAGTATCCATCAAGCGAAGCGATATTGAGGCAGTGCCTTGAGAATCGTGCAAAAAGCAGCATGCGAGTCCGAATTGACGCCCAAAAGGAAGCACAACGAACGAAAAATTATGGGAAGTGGTTTTTTCTGTACCGAATTGGCTACGACATCAAGGATGATTTGGCTCTTCAGTGGCGAAGGGTAGTGCGCTGGTTAAGGATGCATTGGCGGGCTTGGAAGCGGAAAATTTCAGGCATGAGGAGAGGTAAGGTTATCACGTTCCTCTGGTACGATTGTCAGGGCATTTCTGCTGACTTTGTTGGTTGTTTTAATATGAAGGTGGACCGTCTTTTGACGAGACGATCAAGAGACACCAACGAACGGATCTCAAAGGGGCTCAGCGATCATGATTAGGGGAGAAATTTGTCTATTTTCAAGTGAATTTATGTTACAAAAATTATTACATGAGATATTGATGCATGAATACTATGTCAGAAAATGTGACAAATGCTAAATGCACGTGAAGGCGTAATGGTCACTCAGTGATGCCGCCGCAATGCAGGTCACAGGTGAGATGTGAGGTAAACGCTGTGAGATGCAGGAACATAATGTCAGTAAGGGTGAATGACTTGATTGAGAAAAGGTTGAGGAAGGAATTGATAGAATCAGACAATGTAGGCCCGCACTGACAGTCGCTGATTAAATCAAGCTGACGTCTAGGGTGGAAACTGCGAACATGATAGATGTTTTCATCATTTGGAGGATGAGGAAGAAAAGATAGAAGACACAACTAACCTTCACTAGAGGGGACGGTGTTGTGCGTTGGGCGAGCTGAGAATTTGCCAAAGCAGAAGATGTCAGCAATCATCCTTTTAGGCGCTGTTTCAAGATTGATTGGAATTGAATGCGGGTTCAGACAAAAGGATATACTGGCAAGTATGAAATACCAAGACATGAAGGTGTCAAGGTTCTCTTCGCAAGGTCTCACCATGATCGATAAGATGGGGAAAGAGGATTAAAGGTCATCATAATAAAAGGGAGGTGGCGAGGATGAAGCTTAACCAACCTAATGTTCGACCACCCGATGTCGTGTCGAAGGTAAGCCGACCTTCAAAGTGGTCAGGCAATTGAGGAAGGAGATCGGAAACGTGTCTTGTGTTAAGTTGCTGTGAAGTGAAATGTCGATTCAGGTATGACCATCTTGAAAAGAGTTTGAAAAGAGTCGAGTTGGATGACTCGTCTTCCAAGTGAGTGTGCGGAGGTTGTTGAGGTGATGAGAGATGGGCTCAGAGTGGGAAAGCGGCGTGATATTTGAGGGCGGCAGAATATAGGTGTGAGCCGGCTGACTTGTGGGCAGCGCACATGCAAAGTTCAAACGACTGCGTGTTACATACCAGAAAGTACCAGAAAGTTTAGGTTTGAACGGTTGAAATTTATACGCATATGACGAAGAGTTTCCAGATCAAATTTGACAAAAAGCTCTCAAAGGATTGGTTGTCTTGGGCAGGCTTGAACCATAGCGCTTGAAAGGATGAGGTGAGACTGTAAAGATTCCCACACACAGCCTTAGTTGCTTTGTCAAACTTCTGAGGAAGCATCACCTGGATAAGACAAAGAATTGACCATGAAGTTTTCTTCTGAGTCCCGCTCAGGTATCAGGGGCTCAGGGCAGCTAAAGGGTAGGATTAAAAAGCAGTCTTTGCACAACCAACCGCAAATGTTCATGAACATATCAGAGCACAGCAAAGTAGGCAAGAGTTATGCCCGAGATTGATGCCCAATTCATATCAATGTGCAATTTGGCAAGGGCTTTTTTGGCCTGTGGAAGGCATTGAAAGAAGAAGAGATTCCTATTGGTTACTTACCTCCAAGAGGGTTTTGAGGAATGCAATTTTGGACATGCAAAAATACATACTCATAGATGTTAATAGAAGTTGTTGGGTTTTGGCTGATTATGAGAATACTTCGAAAACTGCGAGCTCCAAGATGCAATATAATGACTTCAACAAGAGTAAACACAATGGGGAAGTTGTGAATGAAAGTGGTCAACAGCTATTATGTCATAGCTGTGGGTCAAGAGATTTATCCAACATCAATTCTGTTTCAATTATCCTCTTCACTACATGATGACAAGTTCCCCAATGCCTATCCAAGAAACAGCCGTGAGCTCAAGAGTACTACAAATGCAACAAATTCCTCATGATGGAGAACCTGTTACAGTTCGAGAAGGCCCTTGAGGAAGACACCTCTATGTTCGGTGCAAAGCTACTCTTGACCCATGTCAAAAGATGGTGCCACATTGTGACTTATCAGATGAAAAATACCTTCTATTCCAGAAACCATGAAAGCATGACTGGCCTGCGTTACTTGATTCATACTTGCACTTCCGGCTGCAGCTTATCAGACTGGAGCATTTGGGAGTCGGGACTGCTTCACATGGCCACAAAGATGATAGTGTCCTCCACACCAAGAGATTGAAAGGACAGGTTTTACCTTTAAACATCGAGTTTTCTTTCACAGTAACCCATCTTACTCAGCTCTTGGTGTGTCACGCTCAGCATTTGCCCCCCCGAAAGATCGGCCGAACTTGATCAACGCGGTCAATTTTCTGGCCACTTTTTGTTTTGTTTTTTAAAAAAAAAGTGCTTTTGGTTTCACATATTGCACTAACTATCCTTTTGTGTCAAATGTAACTACTAGATTGATGTTGTTTATTTTCTATCAATGACCGGACTTCAAGCCTCCACGCATATGAAAGAATTATGAAAGCATCACCTGGGTTTGGAAAATCATTGGGCGTCGAAAATCTTGGCATCATGTTTGTAGAGTTTGTCTTTTGCAGCAGGATGATTTTCGGGGAGATTGTAAATGAGGGGTGTGGTGATCTCAAAGCAATCGAAGCTGGGAAGTTGCTGCTCATTTCTTTCGAAAGGATTTCCTGTTTAGAACCGATAGCCGGGTTAAAATTTCAGGGTGATCGAGGTCAGAGTAAGTTTGGCCCTGAGTTGATAAACTGTGTCGGGTTGGATTAGCTGAAGAAATATTAAAGTCGATTGTTGACAATGAATCCATCATTTCTTCCTCAACCTCTTTCAACTTCACCACTCGTATGGCATCCCCTCATCATGAACGAGAGCCTCTTCTGCCTTCAAATCAACAATCAACATGTCAAAACCTTCATCAGAAAGCCTCTCAGACAATCTCGAATTCATTCAGATATCTCAAACTTCGACCAAGACCTCGTACCCTTCTCTTCACCTCTTTGCTGCTCATCTCATCTGCCATCGTCTATCTTTACGATCGATCCCAGAAACGCGATTTAATCGATGAACTCGCCGATACAATTGAAAACCTTTCCACCTGCGCATCTTGCAAAGCACTTCTGCTGCCTCTTGTCACTATTGCTCATCTCGGGGACCCGAAGTTCTTCTCAACGCTTGTCAGCTTTTGCACTGGTTTGGGTATACAGGACCCAGAAGTCTGTCGGGGTGCCTTGGGCGCTCAAGCGCCGATTATCGCCCACTCGCTGCGGTCCATGAGTCTAAGCGGGCATACCTCGGACTTGTTTTGTGCGAAGACGTTTGGTTTATGCGAGGACCCTCCTGTGCGCGAGTGGAAGGACATCTCATTGCCTCCACGGAAGCCTCAAACCAACCTATCGAAATTCTCCCTTCCTGTTCCAGAAATACGCGCCTTTCCTCACACCGGCTCAACTCCCATACACAACAATCAAGCTTCATCATCAAATTCAACAATTGAATCCGAAGACCAGACCTTGGAGACAAAGCCGTTCCAAGTTATCCACCTCAGCGATCTCCACATTGATCGTGAATATGCTGTGAGTAATCCCAACATCCTCCATCGCCAATTTTGAGTTTTTTTCTTTGAACCACCTTATTCAACCCTTGCTTTATCCCCCACCTACGTTCCACTAGATTGGCGCGGATTCGGTCTGTGACCGGAATCTTTGTTGTAGACTCGATCAACCTACCGATATACCAAATAAAACCATATCCCCAGCTGGACCTTATGGCAGTCACAAATGTGATTCGCCAGAGTCACTCTACATCAGCATGTTGCGGGCACTCAAAGAGTTTGTCCATGATCCAAGTATCTGCTTTCTAATGACCCTACGACTGATAGACTATTTTATTCATACAGCCATGCTCCTGACGCAGAGTTCGTGGTACATACTGGTGACATGGTAGACCGTGAGCTGTCTTCTTCAGTTTGATACTTTATCATACACCTGGTCTGACGAAGGTCTCCGCTTCAACATTTGTCCCCCCGAAAGACGCTGTCTGGAACTCCGTCCGCAAGGAGGTCGAGGACGGTGTTGGGCAAGGACATTCTCAATATCATGCTTACTCCCAAACGCCCTTCTATGGTGTAATCGGAAATCAGTAAGCCCTAGCGTCCTCCAAGGGAACCCGTAATATTCAAAGCACTGATACATTCACGGCAAATAGCGATATTGCCCCAACCAATTCTTTCCCTCGCAATACCACCATCACCACCATGTCGTCTCAGTGGGACTTGGAACTGTTTTCGGGCACATGGCAAAAATGGATCGGCGAACAAAATGCGCAAACAGTTGCGACGATGTCCGGATGCTATAGTATCATTCATCCTGGTACCAACCTCAAGATAATCTCTCTTAACACTGGGTTTTGGTACAAAGCTGTTAGTTCTGTCATCTCAATACAATTGTCGCGCCTCTTCTGCCAAGATGTCGATCTCATTGTCGATTATTCATTGTGCTATTCAGAACTTTTGGCTTTACGATTCGGACGACTTTCAGCCCGATCCCAATGGCATCCTTGCCTGGCTGATATCAGAACTCCAAGATGCGGAAGACAAGGGACAGAAGGCCTGGATCATGGGACACCTCTCACCCGGAAAGTCAGATTGTTTGCAAGAGCCTAGTCGGTATCTCAACCAAATCATGCGGCGCTATAAAGATACCGTGAGTTTGATTGGCGTTCTCTTTCACAATGGAAAGCAGAGGTCTGATTTTCACATCTCGGCCCAAATTCTTCCCTAGATATCTGCATCCCTATATGGTCACACTCATCGGTCCGAGTGGGAGATCGTGTATGAGGATCCGTCGCATCCTACGGCGGACACCGCGATTGGAATGATATATATCGGACCTGCCATGACACCAGAATCTGGCAACCCGGCTTTTAGGATTTATGATGTCGACCCAGTAACCTATCAAATCCTCGATTTTCATGAAATCATCACCAATCTTACCGAGCCCGGATATCAACTTCATCCTCGTTGGTTTAAATACTACTCAGCTCGAGAAGTCTATGAGACACTTCTACTCAATAACAACTTGCCCGGTTTACAGAACAATCGATCTCCGATTGATGGACCTTTTTGGCATCGGGTCACTGATATCCTAGAACAGAGTTATCCTGAGTTTGAGAAATTTTATCATCGATTGACAAGAGGGGCAGATTTACAGGCGATGGGAGATTGGAAACCTTGTTACTCGGGAGCCTGTCGAAAGAAATGGATTCAAACCTTGAGATCATCACAATCCGAATTCAATGGATATCCCAACCATGTGGGATTGAACATTGATTCTATTGAAACTGATGTTGCGCCAGCCCCCAAAGCAGGATGGGGCTTGGAGCCCGGTGAACATGATGGTGAACATACGTGTGGTGATCTTGCAAGCCTGTATAAGCAAGCCAAAGAAAAACTGGGACCCTTGCATAAGCACAAGGTAAGAGAGATTGGCTGAATTGTTTTTCTATACAAAATGCTGATCAATGCAATTCCATCGTTTACAGAAGGTTAAAATACCCGCAAGTCTTAGGCACGAGCTTCGACAACAACTCCATTCGCCTTAATCATCTCGGTTCATTCTCAAAATCCATGATGATCAAATGTTAACAGGAATTTTGATCCAACGTCATGTTTGACAACTGCTTCTGATTTTTCATTTATAGTACTCTTCAATTTTTTGAGGAGTGGGATTGTACGTTTTTATCTATCTATCTAATATATATATACATATCTCATCCTTTTTTCAATCAAGATTTCATTACAATTGTATAAATTTCGTCTTGGGTTTGCAATTCTTTGTTTCATTGTATAGGTTGTTGTGTTATTGTTGTATTTGAAATGTATTGTAAAGACGGCGGTGTGTTTTTGGATAACATATCTTATGATTTTTCGTTTTTGATCAATCAAGTTATATACCTACATCACACTTTCTCCTATCATTTTAGATTTGTACATACCTTTGCGATGTTCAATGAAGTGATTACTATCTCTTTGTCTTGATCGCCACTTGTCGTATTTTTAATCAGCGTTTCTATCTGTTCTTAAAGGAGTGCTCTTAACCTTTGCTCCGAATTGCAATGACTGAAAATCTAGGTAAGGCCTCAATCAAGATCCATTCCCACCCGTGAGCCATTCACCTCAGAGATTGACTATATACTCAGCGGGTTCTTGGTGACACTTCTCATTTTCTTTCCATATCTCGCTACAGTACATCTCATGAATTTCAAATGAGGAAGAATATGTTTGTCTGACGTCATGCTGGCGACTCCGGTCTTCTTACCGCGTGGTGAAGTCTGACGGGGACAACGGGCCGGATTCTTATCGACGCTTACCACAGCTTGCCTCCCTTCTTCATGAGAGGGTCGAAGATATTTCCGTATCATCCACTAAATTGTTCCTTTTAGGTGCTCCCCTTCCATCTTCGTCATTTCCACATGTCTCACATGATGTCGATCTGTCAGGTGACTCTTCATGTCCTGTGGGACGCCTTTTGCTCATGCGTATGCTTTTTAACTGGCTGGGTATTGTTCCCAAAAGGCTTATCAAGCCTGTGGTATCGCGCACCCCTTGTGGTATGGGATGTGGTGGAACCGCACCAGAGGGAGCTATCGGCCAGCGCCTTCAGAGTTTCCTACAGGATGCATCCACACCACGCTGGTTTGTTATATCGACTGATCTTTGCATTCCAAACTGATGTCCAATATGCTTGATCTACCTGGCGTATTTGGCTAACGATTCGTCACTCAAATTGAACTGTCGTGTCTTTCATCAGATGCCCAAGGACGGGTCTTTGGAGGCGAACTCTTGAAACTTGTGGATGTAGTCGCAGGGATTGCCAGCAGAAGACATACCGATAGATCTTGCGTTACAATATCAGTGGAGTGCATACCTACTCGATTTATGGGTTTCCTTTGGATGATTCTGATGGATTCGATCTACGTATCCTATGATCGTTCGTCTCATTGCCAAGTCGTGTGATCTTCTTGTGCCCGGTCTTTGTAGGCGATGTGCTTCATTTATCGGTTTCAGTGAATAGAAGCTGGGGATCGTACGTGAATCCGTACTTTCTGCTTCTGAAAGATGTCTATATAGCACCTTACACGTTTTGGCAATATCAACTTTCATGAATTCAAGGTCTATGGAAACTGGCATCAAGATTATCAAAGAAGACTTTCGTAACGGGAATCAGACCTATGCCTGTCATGGTATGTCGGCAAAGAGCAAAGCGGCTGTCTTTATTGAGTTTGAGGATACCTGGACGACTGAATCTCTTCCTCTAATGTACACCGGGAGCAGCATACATGACATTCGTTGCGCGGCCAAGGGCTACTTTGAGCACATGCCATCGATTTTGGGATTTTATCTCACTCCGACAACCACCTGTCATCAAAGTCAGAGTACCAAAAGTGATTGCACAAACCGTCTTAGATCAAAAACGATATTTACTAGCAGGACGAAGACGTGGGCACCGTATACGACAGAGTGTTGAATGGAATAGTCTATTGGAAAAGTTCAGAGAATACGTTCTTTCTCTAAAGTATCCCGAAGAGCAGGGTGAAAGAAATTGGCAAGCGAATGATGAAGATCTTGCCAGGATTGAAAAGGAAGTCATTGCTGATAGTTTCATTAGAAAAGATCCAGATGTACGTGTAGATGATGGAATGGTGGTAGCTGAGATTCCTGACCATATGGAACCGATCAAAATCCCACTGGCAGAAGTTGAGTGGCTTTACGAAGCTGTAGTAAAGGTTCTAGCTATCGTTTGTGCTGAAAATGGGCGCATATGGTCTAGATTGAGAAGATAGTAGCAGACCGAGGAGTAGGATCAGCTCTTCGTCGACTTTCTACCCCAAGTTTTCATCAGACTGCTTTCAATAAAGATTCAGAAAGACATGTGGATTGGATTTCGAGTGAGACAATTCAAGCGGAGAACACTCTCGCAACAACAGTCTGGATCGTGCGACCTCAACATTGTAATTCTATGGGCGTTCTGTTCGGCGGAACCCTCATGCGATGGTAAGTAGAAAGATCTTAACAATACTGCCAGATAATCAAGACTTATACCTCTGATAACTTATCGTATTGCTAGGCTAGAAGAGGTAGCCAATCTGGTCAGTTCAGTTCAAACAAATATAACTCATCTTCACTCACTGAGCTCGAACCAATCTCTCTAAATAGTCCGCTGGGAATATCTGTTGTGCTGCCTGGGTAACAGCAGCGTACGTATTTCAAAGCCTTGAAAGATTTGTGTGATGCTAAGATGCGTTTTTTTGCGTTCATCAATAGCATAGATAGTATGACGTTACGGGCTAGGTAAGTCTGGAATTGCATTAAAACCTTTCGTTGATTCTACTGACTTTCATATGTTTGATAGCGCACAGCCTGGTCATGTGGTCATTTTGCGAGCAATAGTTGTAAAGGTTTGGGAAACTTCCGTAGAGGTTTATTGTGTTGCCAAGGCAGGTAAGTTATCTCTCATCTTTGACTAAAAATATTATTTACTGTGGCACTTCTAATTTTTATGATTACAGAAACACGAGAAGGAAAAGAGTTTTTCATCAGTGATGCATTCATCTCCTTGGTGGCTATCGATCATGAAACCAGTCAACCTGTAAGACGAGATCTAAAGAGGGTGGAGAGTTCCAATATATGGGCTGATAAAATACGTGAGACGAGTGAATCACGTCGTCAAAATAGACTATCTGAAAAAGCAATTCTTCAAAAGGTATGCTGAAGTTGAACTCTTTGGAATCTTGATAAAAATACTGAGTATTGATCGGATTTACTCAGGTATACAATAATTGACTCGAATTGCATTGAAGGGTGCTTCTCGCCTCTCGTGACCCCAGAGATGACACCCATGTCGCTAAGAGGCTTAGATAAACAAGTTGTATAGTTGATGTGTGATTGTCTTCCATTGTTTGTGAAGCATTGTATAGCTAATGGACCTAGAAAGTATGCTTGTCAGTACTTGCAATTTTTGTCAGTGTTGATTTGAAATAGCAGCTTGTTTTGAAGCCGCAGTGACTAAAATGTTATCTTCTGGCAAGAAAATCCGTTGGATAACGCGAAAAACTCGGCCAAGCAAGAATGGCCGTGTTCTTCAAATTCTCCTCTTCAAGCCTTTCAAAGCTCAAAGTGCCAGACTGACATTCAAGTGTTTTCAACATGCTTCACAGTTGATTTCCTGTTCCAGGTGTTTTTGTAATACAACTTGGGCTTCTAGTTCGAGTGAATCCGCATCGAAGCTTCCGAGCATTTTTCCATCTCTTTTCTAAATTGGAAAACAAGTCAGAAGTACACCTCACATTGTCAACGAGCGCCTGGAAACATCGCGGGGCTTCATCATGCAATCTAATCAAGTTTTGATAAATCTCATGGGACACGATAAGAAAGGCTTCAAAAATGAGATTTTACAGCTACTGAAAAGCGTAACACATCTAAACAGCTGTTCAATTTTCTATGCCCACGAAGACTTGGATCTTTTGTGTGGTGTGAAGATCTTTTCCATCCGGTGATTTCCACATGTTTGCACAATATGAATGTAGCTATTGCCGTCCTTAGAAACCGTCTTCAAGTTGACTGATATTCATGGACTTGTTCCTTGAGTGAACTGTGAGACGTTGGTTAAGTTGAAGTCTCAGGTGTCAAGGTAGTGAAATGCATTGGGGTTGAAACCTAACTTTAACGAATTCAATTCCGATTTTACTTCGTTTGAGGTGTCAAGTGTGTGTCGGGTAGTGATCAGACCACCCTCACGGCAAAATCCGCCTGGGACACTCATTTCTGCTTGATCTTGACCCGCCAGTTGAGATTCCTTCTTTCCCCCTTCCCAGCTTTCTATAGCTTAAGAAAACCCATCACACCACATTACCCCACCTATATCTCCATCAAACTTTAGCATGGCATCTCTCATTCGTGCTGCCTGCCGATCGGCTGTCCCTCTCTCTCGAAGCACTCTCCCTTCTCAAGCTGTGAGTCAACCGTTACCTTATTTTCCATCTTGTCCGATCGATCGTTTGCTCGTCTCAGTCTCACTCAAGATCGACATGATGTTGCTCCATATCCTTCTCAGCTACGAAAGCAAGTTCCAACTTTGACCTCTCAGCTCCGAACTTACGCCACTGCCAAGCCAGGTAATAACGACTGTTCTATCTTAGACTTTGCCCGATCAAGCTGTTTCTGATGAAATCTGTCTACCCTCCTCCCATCAGCTGCCTCCGAGGTTTCTTCCATCCTCGAGGAGCGAATCGGTGGTTCCAGTGCTGCTACTGATGTTCAAGAAACTGGTCGAGTGAGTTACATCCCCATATTTTCTTGATCGAGCGTGTGGTGCAAGAAATGACACGTAGCTCTCAAACGTACTTATAGGTTTTGACCATTGGAGATGGTGAGTTTCGACATCCTGTCCGACGATACTGGATAACCCCCCGCTGACGTCAGATCTACTCCTCAAGGTATTGCTCGTGTCTACGGTTTACGAAATGTGCAAGGTAATTTCTTCATGCAATATCTCTTAGAAAGAAGGGACCCAGCTGACCTTACTGGTCGACCATAGCCGAGGAGATGGTGGAATTCTCATCTGGAGTCCGTGGAATGTGCTTGAACTTGGAAGCCGACAATGTCGGTGTCACCATCTTCGGTAGTGATCGTCTGATCAAGGAAGGTGACACTGTCAAGCGAACTGGACAAATTGTGGATGTCCCAGTTGGTCCTGAACTTTTGGGCCGTGTCGTCGATGCCCTCGGTAACCCTATTGATGGAAAGGGCCCCATCGCCTGCAAAGAGCGTCGTCGTGCCTCCCTCAAAGCTCCTGGTGTTTTGCCCCGTCGATCAGTCAATCAACCCATGATGACCGGTATCAAGTCCATCGACGCCATGGTGCCGATCGGTCGTGGTCAGCGTGAGCTGATCATTGGTGATCGTCAAACTGGTAAAACCGCTGTTGCTTTGGACACCATCCTCAACCAGAAGCGATGGAACGAAGGAACGGACGAGACCCAGAAACTTTACTGTGTCTACGTAGCCGTTGGTCAAAAACGTTCGACTGTTGCTCAATTGGTTCAAACATTAGAAGAAAATGATGCTTTGAAATACTCGATCATCGTTGCTGCCACTGCTTCTGAGGCCGCCCCACTTCAATATTTGGCTCCTTTCTCCGGTTGTGCTATGGGAGAATGGTTCCGAGACAACGGCAAACACGCTTTGATCATCTACGACGATTTGTCCAAACAAGCTGTCGCCTACCGTCAAATGTCCCTTCTTCTTCGTCGACCTCCTGGTCGTGAAGCTTACCCCGGTGACGTCTTCGTAAGTCTACATACTTTTGGGCCCTTATAGATGACGAGTCATACTGACACATTCGGGCTTTTAGTACCTCCACTCCCGTCTCCTTGAACGTGCTGCTAAGATGAACGAGAAACTCGGTGGAGGTTCTTTGACCGCCCTCCCCATCATCGAAACCCAAGGTGGTGATGTATCTGCATACATGTAGGTTCAGCTTCCCTTCTAAACTGTTTCTGGACTCGGTACTGCCCACGTCATAGTGCTAATTCTATACTCTGTCATGGCAGTCCTACCAACGTCATCTCAATTACCGACGGTCAAATTTTCTTGGAGGCTGAACTCTTCTTCAAGGGTGTTCGACCAGCTATCAACGTCGGTCTGTCCGTCTCCCGTGTCGGATCTGCTGCGCAGACCAAGATCATGAAGAGTGTATCTGGTTCCTTGAAGCTTTACTTGGTAAGTCATCGTACATCTACTGTCTACCATCCAATGTCTTGAGCTCATCATTCACAATGCTATAGGCCCAATATCGTGATGTTGCTGCATTCGCACAATTCGGTTCCGACTTGGATGCATCTACTCGATACCTCCTCAGTCGTGGTGCTCGGTGAGTACTATATCACCATCAGGAGCTCAATACACCCGTCTGATTACATTTTCTGTCCTAGTTTGACTGAGCTTTTGAAGCAAGGTCAATATCAACCTTTGGCTTTCGAGGTTCAAGTTCCGATCTTGTACGCCGGTGTCAACGGTATGCTTGATGTGAGTGTGATCTGACGCAAACTACAATCCGAAGCCTTCTTTAATCAATCTTTTCGTCAATTTGCAGAAAGTACCAGTAGAGAAGATTGTCGCCTGGGATTTGGCCTTCCGAGACCATCTTACTACTGAGCAATCCGCCCTCTTGAAGGATATTACCGGAGGTAAAATGACCCCTGAAATCGAAGCCAAGATCAAATCTGTTGTCAAGAGGTGAGTAAAGTCTGAACGTCCTAGATGCTGCCAGGTATTGTGTCTGACATTGTAGCGTTTTTGTTTCACACAGCTTCACTTCAAACTTCCTTCAGTAAACTTACCACAATCAATCTAAAAGGTTACGTTGAGTTATGATATCTTTAGAGCCTTGATGCTTTTGTTGGTATCTTGAAAAAAAAGAAATTGTTATAAATAAAGTTGAATTTTTCGAGCGATGCTTGAATTTTGACACCCTCATAAACAATTCGCTCCTTCTCATGACTTGCAGACTCCTTGCTGAGCCTTGTTGGAAATCATGATGGACCATTTCCCGGGGTCTGAGCCACGTCTGATTCTCCACAGGCTACTGGATCTTTTGCTCTCATTACCTCTTGCCATTTGTTTAATACATCTCCGAGAGTATTGCCATCCTTTTCCAGCTGTACATGCGATCGCGACATGTCTGTCCTTATGAGAACACTGCAGGTGCCTTGAGTGTGCCCATCAAGCTTTCTTGATGAGTTATCTTCAGGCATTTAGATTCCGTGGGCCAGCCTGTTTCTTGGTCACTGTGTATAGTCCATTCCTGTTCTACCTTCGTATGATTTGCATCCCATTGGATCTTTATTCTCAAATTTCTACGGCATGTCTGAACAACTTTGCCAGTTCTCGTACAGCCATGCCAGATAGCCTTTTTTGAACTCAGCCAGTCTCATCGTCGGAGAAGAACCCATGGCTCACCCAAGCTATGTGGAGCTCTTTAAGCTTAACGCAGGGGAGCTGACATTCTCTAGATCCACCGCAGGCAGCAGCCTATGATAGCTGAAGCTAGAAAGCCAAGCATTCTACCGAGATCTAGGTGCAACAAGTTCGAACACCATCTTTGTCTTTAGCGAGCGCGTCTCTTGACCGTTTGCTTCAACATGATCTCCAACAATTTCAAATAATTCAAGAGACTCGCAAGATCCCTTTCGATCAGCCCTCATGTTGGTTCCCGTTCGATTTCCTCATTCAAAGCTCTGTATTGCAGTATGGATATACTTTGCTTTGGCTTCCATGGCCCATGGAATCATCAATCGAAATCCCTTCTCTCGACCCAAGATCCGCGACTTTCAACCTTCTACTGAGCCTCAAGATTTCACAGGGTCAACAAATTCGACGCTCAATGGCACATTCATACAACCCATCATACCTACTGATGCACATTTCAGTGTATCTGAGGCCCAATTATCCACAGCCTTGGCGTGCGTTGGTGGCCCAAGACCAACAGGCAAACCAGGTGGTGTGATTTTGTTGGTACATGGTACCTACTCTGCACCAAGTATCGTGTGGTTTGAAGTGAGTTTCTTAGCACATATCACAATATAATGAAGTGATACACTTTTCTTAAGTGATGTTTCTGAAAACTTTAGTCGGCATATGTGAAGGTCTTACCAAATCTTACGCCAACCTACGATGTTTGCTACGTTGCCTTACCTGGATTCGCTTTGGATGACATTCAAATCTCAGCGGAATATGTTGCGTATTCAATTATGACATTAGCTAAGCAAGCTAATAGTGGAAAAGTGATGATCGTATCTCATAGTCAGGGGTGAGCAATTCTTCATCACGCGATCCCTTCATGACAGATTTATTGAGTCAAGCAAATGTTTTTTTTTAAAAACTTGTTCAGCGGACTTGGTGTTCAATGGGCCCTAAGTGAGTAACTGTCATCTGATACTGTCATTTTGATGGAAGATCATCTGATCTGGGGTGATGGATTTCTTGGTTCTAAGCCTTTTGGCCTTCAACACACAATTTGGTTGAATTTTTCGTGTCATTAGCCGGTGATTTTAAAGGTAGTACTCTAGCCAAATTGGTCTGTTTGATTAGATGTCCAATCGCCCTCTCACAACAAAGATCAGATTCAAAATTCATTGCAGCTTTAAATTCTCAAAATGATACATTTAGTGGAGCTGTTGCAAGAGTTCCTACTTTTTCATTCTTCACGACTGCCGACGATGTGGTTAAACCACAAAGTCCAGGTCCCAAAGCCTCCAGTAATCTCACAGGATCATACGCAATCCCCATTCAATCTTTTTGTGGAAAGAATTATGATCTGAAGCATGTTGGAATGACCAAGGATGCTACGATTTATAATATGGTCTTAGATGTGATCATAAACAAGTCATTCGACCCTTCACGCATCAACATGATCTGTCGTTTGCCGAAGAGTAAGTCACGATTTAATTTGGTTCCTTCGAGATAGAAATGTTGCTTGATCTTGCTAACTTCTGGATCAGCCAATGGAGGATCCCTCACATCCTTGCCTAGTAGTAACTCATCATCCCGCTCAACAAATCAAGAACCGGAGTTGCAGCCCTACGTGTGCGCTAGAAGATATGCAACTCAATGCAAGACTTAGCTTAGGTTCAGTTACGGTGTCTTGATGTCTCCTTCTATGAGGTGCGATAGTAGAGCTCCACTCCTATCACACTCTTTCTAGTCATTTTGGCTTGTAGTAGCTTTTAAATTCCTGGTTTGAATGAAGGATCAGATGAAGGAATATATACTATGATATGGTCAGGTTTGAAATTTTGTGATGCCATGAATCATCTAATTTCAAGATAATTTACCATATACGAAGGAAAGTGATAGTATTCCTCTAACAATCTGAATAAGTGGTGGCAGGATTCAAGTAGTCAGACTCAGATAACTGAGACTCGTAACACATGAAGGAGTGTGTTGTGCAAAAAGGTAATTAAGAGGATGACCAAAGGCAAAGATTCTCTGAAGGGATACATCCCATGTGATAAAACATGAAGTGTTGACGCGTACATAGCTCGTACTGAGGGGGGCGACTGTAAGCTTTTGGTTTTCCAAGGCACGCTTTTAGCTATACATGTCCGGAGGGCAGAGTGTTACATTTTCCACAGAACACAATGTAAGGCTTCCTGCGAATCTTTGTCAAGCTATGCAATGAGCAAAGTGATTTTGAGATTCCACATGGGTATTTCGACCAAGAAATTTTAGCTAGTTTCCTTGCCACAATATACATGTATTTATGTATTCTACACTCATACAGGAAGACAAGCGGGTTTTTGATCTTCGTAGACCTGTTGAAATAAAAGGAAAGGTTGATTCACCATACTCATCCTTTTCTGAAACACAAAATACTAATGCAGAAAAACAAAGTCATCAGTCTATGCTTGAAAGAAAGTTGCCTGTATGGGTTGTGACTAACCTCCATGACGAGTTGTGGACTCTCATGAGACCCAGACACTAATAATCCACATTCATCTCTAACTTCTAGACTTTGATATGTTCGAAACCTTACTGCGATCTGTACTACAGTTCCACCCTTGTCAAACGGAGCAGCTCGCATGGTCACGATCTCCATCTCTGTCTCTTTAGGTGGATTCTTTCCTTTCCCGTTCGCCTCCGTAGTTATATTTGAGTGCAATTTCCATGAGATTGAATGACTAGGACTAAAAGTTTCCAATAACTTATTGCGTTTCTGTTTTAAACTTTCGATCATGTTAGGGTGGATACATCTTTCTATACGGGAGTCTTCGAATTCACCGCTGAGTGAGACAAAGAGAATTTTCGACAACAAGACGGTGTCAATAAAATTCGCGTGTAATTCAATTTGAACGTTGTAGTTGCTTACGATGCAAGGGTTTTATGATATAGAAAAACCGATTCATCGGCTTGGGTCATGAAATCAGCCAGCCACGATCGGTTAGAAGCCGACATGACAGAGTCCACACTCCTTCGCCTGATACCAGAAGTATTATCAATATCAAGCTGTTCAACAAAGGGCTTGGATCCAAAAAGTTACTTACGATTGTCTTGAACCAAGCCACTGCCCCCAAGCTTCCTTTAACATGTTCTTACGCCATCCTACACGTAGATGTGTCCAGAGGCCTTTAGAGGAATCTGGGGTAGGTCCTTCGTAAGGTGCGATATAGGGAACTAGGTGGTGGGTGATATCAGTTTTGTGGGTTGAATATCACTATACGAGATCGAAGGATGGACGCATAAACGGACTGATTAAAGGGTTTTGTCTGCTCAGGCTTTGCTAAGTGAGGAACGAAATCAAATCAGCAGAGAACCCTAAATGTGAACGGTAAGTGAGCCTCGAATGCTCACTCCGCTTCGCTCAGCCCTTCGCTCATTACGGATCTGCCGCCTAGCTTCTTCTGCTCGCTTGACAGGTAATTTGGCAAGTTCTTTTTCAACTTCTTCTTCAAATTCATTGATCGCAATGCTTTGTCTTGTAGCTGATGATTCCGCCAAGGTAGAATAATGTGTTCGCTCTAGTCCGATGTGTGCGAGCAAAGTTGGACGGGTAGAGAGGCATTGTCGATTGATAGAGAATATCCGCACGAGTGACTGCATTGCGCAACGTTGACGTTGAAAAGACTTCTTGAAAAAGTTGATGGTGCGTGAAGATGATGAGATGAAGTCAACAAATTTAAGGTCGAAGTCAAAAAATTGGATGAGCTAACTACTAAGCTCATCTTAAGTCCTACCTAACCAGTTTTAGCCAGTTTTATCGCTCCGAGTTTTAGACACCACAAACTTCAAAACGTTGAAAGGAAACAACTGGCTCATCATTAAAGTCGTTTTCTTGCAAACCCCCTTCGATCAAAGCCCATGTCTGACTCCAGTACTTCGATGGAAACACTTGACGGTTTACTGGTAAAACATTTGGATACTCTTGATCTCTACATGGCTGAGTACCAAACTGTAGAAACTCATCTTAAAAAGGTCAATTGGCATCCTCGTTACAATCTTGATTTGACGTCCAACTAACTTGTACCTCTTCGCACTTCACAGGCATTCTTTGACCTGGCTAGGGCCAAGGTAGCCCTTGGACCCAATAGAGTTGGCAAGAACAGCTACGATCTGACTCCAAAGGCTGCCGTCAAGAGGGCGTGAGTCTCTTGCGAGCTTTTTCGACATCCAGGCGCGTTGCATACAAGCATTTTCACTTCTGATGAAAGAAAAGGTGTTTAAACTCTTCAGGGTCGAACGACGCTCCTTCGGTACCATCTGACGGAGATGTTCATGACACCTTCAGTCTGAATAATTACATACCTGCGCCTCCCGACTTGGATGAACAAGTGATTGCTGAACAAGCGTCTACCTCGCCTTCTGATCTCAAGGCTGGAACATTGGATGTCGATCAAAAGTCTCAAGGATTACTCCGGCGCAGAAAGGCTACTCAACTTGAAAAAGATAACACGACCGATGACGCTAATGGTATCACAACATCTCCAGAGCCTAGCCAGCAGAACGACGACGATTCCATGCAGCCAGTTTCAACTAAACCTTCACATCCGGCACCGATTCATCCCATTCATCAATTTGCTGCCTTTCCGCCTCCGTCACTGAAAGCGGCCGAGACAGGCTTTTCGACCGCACTGGAAAGTATCATTCGGGTATTGAACGTTCGGTACCAATTGAACAGTCTAGAGTCTGCCATTGAGTTGCAGAAAAGCAGGACAACCTCTGATGCAGTTTGAAGTGTTTTGGTCAGTTTCTCAACCACTCAATCACTTCATCATGTCGCACACTGTTAGCATGGTATCGAGTCTCTTCACTGGGGTATCTCTGGGGGTATTCCTGGAGGTGAGTACAATTGTAAAACGTTCGCCGGTCTTGGTCATACCATGCAACGACATTTGGAGACATAGTTGGTTCAAAATTGTGTCCCATTTGATGTGAAAATCTTGTTCATAACTTTAATATCGGGCAACTGTTTCTTAGAACACACAAGAATCCTTAGCGATATTTGGATGGGTAAGAAACACTTTGCTCTTTTGCAACCTTTGCAATGCATTACACACAACATGTTGAGAAATCAAATTAAACCGAGCACATGAATATTCTTGATTCCAGCTGAAAGATCTACATTGATCATGATGATGCGCCAGAATTGAGTGGGATTGCTGCACAAAAAGTGCATGTCTGATCCAACTTGGATCATGGAACAAAATTTTTCAGTCTCTGATTAAAGAATATATGTACATAGATTGTCTGGTTTGTTTAAATAAATCGTATGGAATGAAATAGGTGTGAGGGTTTTAGACCCATTCTTGGAAACTAAAGGTAACTTGAGTAGTTGCTTGATTGACCATGCTTTGAAGAAAGGCTTTAGAGGCATTGTTCAAGAAAGTCATGATCATAGATAGTACCTCGATTGGAAGGCATTCAATTTCAAGTTTGGTGTTTGATTGAGATGATTGGTTTGAGATTTTATGATGATTGTGAGGAGAAGTTTGTTGAGGGTCTTGAAGAGATGACATCATTTCACCCGCTGATCCTTCATTTTATTTTGCAAACCACTATCAATACACACACTTCAAAGTGTTCCCAAAGATGGATGTCTTGTATTCGAGAACTTCTGAAATCTAAGACTGAGCAGAAACTCATAGAGCCCATTCTCAGCCAATGTGTAAGATTCCTTCATGGGTTTGTTATCGAGGATTTGTTTAAAATTTGACTTGAGGTTGTGTAAAGTCTCAAAATAGCAAGTCCAGGTCGGGATTACATATCGAATTTGAATCTCGATGTTTCGATTTAGGTTACTAGCAAGTCGATCAAATTCCAAATCCACTTCACTTCAAATCAAACAACAAATCAGCATCATGTCAACCACCACTGTGACTAGCACCACTCAATCTAATCTTTCACCCATCGTAATGTTTGGACCATCAGGAACAGGCAAATCAACACTTTTAAAAAGACTGCAATCAACTCCTCAATGGTCTCAATTCGGTTTCTCTGTCTCTCGTATGTCATTCATCCATCCATTCACTCATTCATTTCATGGTTTCTTAAGACTGATGTTTGGTTTTTTTTATAACTTATGATTTCTTGCTTAGAAAAGATACAACCCGTAAACCAAGGCCTGGAGAAGTGAATGGAATAGCTTATCATTTTGTTGAACGTGATGAATTTCAAAGTTTGATTTCTCAAGGTGCATTTATTGAACATGCTGAGTTTAGTGGGAATTGGTAAATGTTAATTTCGATTAATCTTCTTTTTCTTCTTCTTCCTATAATGATGATCTCAATTCATGTTGTTTCTCTTGATTTTGGATACGTGATAGTTATGGTACTTCTCTTAAAGCAGTTTCAGATGTGGCTATTAAAGAAGGAAAGAGTTGTATTTTGGATATAGATGCTCAGGTAAGTTCTTATAAGAATTTGATTTCTAGAACAAACTTATTTCGAATCTCATCATTGACTTCTTTTTATATTTTTGTAGGGTGTCAAATTGATCAAAGCTAATCATCCACATCTTAAACCGTTCATCATCTTCATCTCACCTCCATCCCTTCGATCTCTAACCGAGCGTTTATCAGCTCGAGGAACTGAAACTCCTGAAAGTTTAGCTGCTCGTGTAGGAATGGCTCAAAGTGAAATCGAATATGCTTCGGTGAGTACCTCCTACATTCATCTAATTCAAACTAATCAAGAATCGAAACTGAAACTTTTTGGTTTCGGGCTTTTTTGTCTGAATAGACTGGCGTTCCAGATGTTATTATCGTTAATGATGATCTTGATCGAGCTTATGAAAAGTTCTTTAAAGCTTGTGTGAATCGTGATCGAACTGTATCAGATACTCTTCCTAGCGATATCTTGACTACTAGTTCATCTTAACCTTGGAGCATAAATAAAATCAAACCTTTTTCTTAATCTTTTGAACAAAACTCAGAAAGATTAGCAGCATTTTTTTTTCAGGTCTATCGTGATCTTTTTTTCAAAAGCTACAGATTCTACAAAAATATTGTATCACTTGCTCTTCCTTCGAGCTCAAAACTTTCATAGCTCTACGAAGTTGAATGAGGAAGTTCCGTATTCGCTTCTTGTCACGTGTTTTCATCTATACATGGCTACTGCCATTTTGGTTTATTAGATCTTGTACGCAGATCATGTTCAACTTATGTGAGCTTGGGACTCAATTTGACTTTAGAAATCGGATTCTCAGTCTGGTGCAACGATGAATGGTAAATGGATCTGGAATGGAGACAGTTTTGTTATCACTCAACGTGCCAAGTTTAAGAGCAAAACTGAACAAGACCTGAGTGATAAAGACACAGAGATGATTGGGATCTGCCCATTTTGAGAGGTACCTCTTAAAAGTCTTTCGAAGGCAGATGGACGCGCGAGATTCTGACGATGATGACATAATGAAATGTATGCATTTGATACCAAGAAATCTGGGTAAATCAAAGATGAAAACAGATTCAGTTAAAGAACCATAGAGGCCACATAAAAAGCCATACTGTCATTTCTTCGTTTGTCTCTTCAGCTTGGTACTCGTGTTTTTTGTTTCTAAAGGCCTCGTAAGTTTTCTCTTCGCAAACTCGAGCAGGGAGAGAGTTTTATGAGGTAATACTAGATAATGTAAAAAATACACGTAAACTAAATACAATGTGAATATTAAAGATACATGAGATATGGATTAATGAAGTACATTACACTACAGGTGAGTCGAGAGATGAATCATGAAGAGAAAGAGAAAATGATGCAATAGTTGTATACTTCGATATGAAATTATGAACATCTTCCTGATCTACTTTTGTTGGACTAAGGAACCGTATTCAAAGACTCTAACTAAGTTGTTGTCATGGTTTTCAAGACCCATACCATCCATTACCTCCAGCAGAAGGAACAAAGGATTCTGAGAAAACGGAAATTGATCAGATTGAGTGAGGATCAAATTTCAAGAGTTCATCAACATACCTGACCATAACGATGCCACCAAACACACTCCCTTTGCCTCTGCAAGTTGAATCAAATGCTGAACCTCAGGTATAAGCTTCCTTCCGTGACGGAGCGCATGAATCCCGTATACAAAGTCCTCATTAGCAAAAAATGATCCTAACCGAATCAACTTTGGACATTGATTCGAAACAAGGAGCTCTGCGAGTGTTCCAGCCAGTTTTCCTGCAGAGCGAGCATTCCAAGGTCCATGACCAGACAATCGAGTCACATCAATTGATAATTCCTCAAGACTATCAGGAATCGAAGTCCACACTGGGTTATCTGCAGGTCCATGAGAACTTCGTAAAAGTCCAAGTGGTGGTGGTTCGTACTCTGATGGACTGGAAACCTCTTCGGCGGGCTCTGAAGAAGCATCAGCTGGTAAAATTTGAAAGTCTAGAGAGTATTTAGATGATCGAAGAGCGGTCCCATAGATTGAGCTCAGACATAGACGCTTGATCCCTTTACACTGAGGGAGGGTTTGAGACATCAGTGAGGAAGATATTCCGCGTAGGTAGAGAGTTCTCAGTTGCGTGGGTGACGATCTGGAGCTCGAGTCTGAAGAACTAGGGTCACCAGGAAGATCGTTCAACGGAGGTTGTGCAGTGGGAACAGGGGGAAAGAAGATATTGAGTAAGTGTCGTTGATCGCCATCATCTGCTAATTCTAAATGAAGAGTCTTGATGGTGAGTACACAGGGTACTACGATAAGGTTCAAGATGTTTTCAAGCCAAGGTAAGCCAGTCTTGAGCCAGCGTTCAGATGCACGAGCAGCAATTCCAAAGGAAATCAACTTTGAAGAAGGTAATTGATCTCGACTGAAGAGTGTATGATGTTCGGCAGGATCACCAGGCGAGTCATCTCGAGATCCAATACAAAGTTGTCTTAAGCTGGGCAATTCACGTAAGAAGAAAAGTAGCTGAAAAGGTGAGAGTGGTGTAAGCATAATCACGGTGGTCAATGTAGATGGATATCGATTAACGACGGTTCGAAAAAATGGATTCGTATATGGTAATTCTACAAAGACTAAAGTGTGGATTCGAGTGGACCAAATCCGATTAAGGATCTCATGAAAGATTTGTCGATCAACAAACTCGTGACGATCTTTGGTTGAAGAACGGTGTCGCCAGACAGCTTCTCCAATAAACATGAGTTTTCGCATTCGACCTATCAAACTATCAGGTGGTGGTGATTTGTTTGGTTTGAAGTTCATTAGGTCCAATTGATGATCGACTAATTCATCAGAGACGCGTGATAGAAAATCGAGAGCAGCACGTCTTGAACCCATATCGATCATTGGACTGGCGTCTAATCGTGGAATGATGATTCTTTGTAATTGAGGTGATACCAGCTTACAACTCTTGAGTGTTCGGGTAGCATCTTCAACACCAAAAGCAAAGACGAATTCTAAGATGGCTTCTATAAGTTCGTCCGGGAGTGAAACATTGACAGGCTTTGAGGAAACGAGAGTAGTCTGTTCTTGATTCCCAAGGAGTATGTTTGAAGGTTCAGGCTTGTGTTCTTTGAAGGGTACGTGTCCATTTCGAATCAGTGGATGATTAGCATTAGGCCCCAGATGAAGGTCTTCGAGTAATGGACCCAGATCGGATTTGATGATTGAGTTTGATGATAAGTTCATGTTGCTGAGCTTGTAAAACGATTCATATCACTCATTCAACGATTTGGAAAGAGTGGGTTCTGGAGATTCCCCGCGTGATCGAAACCAAATGAAAATTGATCTCCACTCACCCGTCAAGCGCGTCCGAACTCGTCACATCACAGCACATCACTCGATTTTCCCACTCAAACTTTTTTGAACCGTGTATCCGGTTTGGCCGCCAAAAGGACACATACTCAAGAAAGGAAGAAAAGTTCAAATTGCACGGCCTGTGACTCCTTGGGATCTGACTTTGGAGAAAAGTGCCCAACCAGGCCCAACCTTGACTGCATACTCCGAGATCTCACCAATACCGCTCATGAGATGGCTGTTTCAATTGAGGCTCTTTTACTTGCACTACACAATTATGGTTCTCAAACCTATGCAAAAATTTGTGCAAGTTTCGAGCAACTTCTGTGCAAGACATGAATAGAACTTGCACGGAACTTGCACCGAACTTGCACGGAACTTGCACCGAACTTGCACGTCGGTCTCGCGCGGTTTTCGTACCAGTTGGAACAAAATAGCTGGGGTCGTCAAAAAATTTAATGCGCAAGATTGGTGCAAGAAACCTTGCACGGATCTTGCACGTCGGTCTTGCACATTTCTTGCACAGGTTTGAGAACCATAAATGATGTCAAATCATCTTTTGGACTAATAGGAGTGTTCAAACCTGAAAAGTTGAGATTTGGAACGAGATTTGGAAGCAAAGATTTGGAACTATGATTCTTGTACAGATCTGTACAAGAATCATAGTTATGTACATATTGGAGTATGGATGTTCTTCGAGCTTTGAAGCTTTGTTCGCTTCAAAATAATAGGGGGGGCTCTCAAACCTGGGACTCCAAATTTGGAACACACCGTGCTGACGCTAGCATGTGGTTTTGTCCACTGCTGAGCTGCCGGAAATGCCAAACTCACGGCAACTGAAACACACAGCGGTGCTCAGCACACGCCTTTGCCTCTCGGTGACCAAGCCAACCCTTCTTGTGTTGTAGCATCACATGAGCAATTCTAGTTGCCTACTACCGACCTGTGACTTAGCCATTTCCCAACCCAACTCGCTGAGCTTGTCACTTTATCTTATTCGAAAATGGTTCGAGTCACTTGATGTAGCACCCTACACTCAAACATTTGTGATCATCCTGGCTGATCATGACCCAGAGCTCATCCGACATACCAGAGGGGGCCAATAGGGGCCAATCGATTTTAGCGGCTGCTTTGGCAGCACAGTCCCTGGTCCAACTTGGCGCAATCTTCAAGTTGGGATCCACTTGAAATGTAAATCTATGTTACGCCAAGATGGCATTCTTTGGCCTGGCCATCAAATGGTTCTCCAAATCCTCTGAGAACTTGATTGAAAACCAAAGGCGTGTGCTGAGCACCGCTGTGTGTTTCAGTTGCCGTGAGTTTGGCATTTCCGGCAGCTCAGCAGTGGACAAAACCACATGCTAGCGTCAGCACGGTGTGTTCCAAATTTGGAGTCCCAGGTTTGAGAGCCCCCCCTATTATTTTGAAGCGAACAAAGCTTCAAAGCTCGAAGAACATCCATACTCCAATATGTACATAACTATGATTCTTGTACAGATCTGTACAAGAATCAACGTTCATCTGTACAAGAATCATAGTTCCAAATCTTTGCTTCCAAATCTCGTTCCAAATCTCAACTTTTCAGGTTTGAACACTCCTAATATTCAAGAACAAAAAAATACAGTGTACACTTTGGTGATTTGACTATATACAAGAATTGCAAGGAAACAAAAGCAGGTTTCTGGAGCTTTGGATTTGACAGGTGCTCAACTTCCACGATGCCAGCGCATGAGTACTGCTGAAAATGAATCAACCCTGAAACAAAAGAGTGGCTACAAAATACGGTACTCCAAGCTGTGTATACTTTACCGTGTATAGTTTCTTTTTCTTTTTTCACAACTACACACAACCAGGAAAAACTATGTTTCTGGATCAGAAGTACATATTTTTGAGCTCCAAACAAGAGACATACTAAGGACCAGGCGCAGTTTGGCCCAAAACCTGCGCGTTGTTGCTAACTTTTCCAGTTCAAGACTAGATTTTGACTTTGAGATCGGCAAGGATCAGCCAAAGCTCCATGTAGAGCGCAAGTGACATGCAGAAGGATGTCACTTGCTGACCTATCTAAAACCATGCTTGATGTTTGCGATGTACAATGGATAGACTGGTGAATGCTGAGCTTGATGGTGATATTTTAATCATCCTGATCCCTACTTATTGATGTCGTTAATAGCCTACGCATGAAATTTGATTGAAGCAGATATTTCAGATTATAAATAGATATGGCTTCATAACTAATTATCACCAAGGAAGGAAGAAAGCATGAAAGATCCTTATAGATGTCCTTATATTCCATAAGCACACCTTTCACAGAACTCCCCTTGCCTCCGGTGATGGATGTACTTTCAAAACCCATAGAGCTTCTTTCTCATTTGAGCTTAAAAAGCCTGTGTAAATCATCCTCAAGGGAAAGATGCACAGGTTGCATCACTATCAAATGTGCCGAAACCATATTCTTAGAGTCGAAAAAGATCAAATAGCAACGCATTTGTGAGCTCCAATTTTAGGACCTCACAAATAATGGAGCGAAGAGCAACTGAATTAGAGAACTGATTTACATCAGTTCCTTGTAACAGAAGTATGTTTGATCACAAGCCTCACTGAAACCATGTGAGGCTCAACGATAAAAATTGTTTATCTTGCTTGAACAACGTTTGAAAGTGCTTTATAAGCCACTTTTGAAAAGATTGCTTGAAAACCCGGTTAAAACAAGCCTACTAACAATACTCCTTTCACAACGACGACCTCACTTCCGCGCCTGGTCCTTACTGTTTCCAGGCCGTGTCTAGCTGCAAAAAAAAACTATACACAGCAAAGTATACACAGCTTTGAGTACCATACACAGCCCTAAGATAGTTTATGGTAAGCTGTTGACTAAGATTTTCTGTGAGGCCCCACAAAAGCTTTGTTGGAGGTGAAACTCACAAGTGAACCACACATCCTGGGCCCTCTGAAAACCATATCTTGCTTTTCTTGACATATTGAGTGTGCATGAATATGTAGGTGCCAATACCCACTATATAGATAGCTTGAGTTACAACCACCCTGTTCAATTCATCCATATAAGCTGTGATAGAACAAGCAACAGCCATGATGAGAGTAAGATAAATTCAAACAGACATGTCAGCTGCTTTGTATCGGAGTCACACCTAGCTCATCACGACTGAGGTTGTTAATGGAGATGAGGGGACCAATCATCAAAGTCAAAGCTGGATCTAAGAATGCTTCCACAGGGGATGCTTTGTAGATACTGTTGTGGAAAGAAATTTTACTTGAGTCTTTTTGGAGACCTTTATGTAGATTTTATTTTTCATTTTTTATTATTCATTTTTTACTCTTTTGGGTCACTCTCAGCTCAGCACATCTTAGTCCAAATTTTGCATTTTTTTCTGGTTTTTTTCATTACATCATCTTCAGCTAGAACTAGGCTCTAACAACATCTAGACTAGACTAAAACAAATCAAGAAGAAAAAGGGAAAGAAACAAGGGGCTGGCTGGGAACTTAACAACAAAAACAGTCAATTTTGAGGGTTTTTTACTCAATAGGACTAGATTGAAACAAAAAGAAGGGTAGTCAGCAAGGTACAGTCATTTGAGATTAGCTTGGCCAATCTCAATTTTATTTTATTTTATTTTATTTTTTTAGAGTCAACACCGCCCAAAACCCTCAACCTTGCTTCTAAACCTCAACCCTTCTCCAACTCTCAATATCCTTTCACCTTTCAATCCTTTCTACCTTCTTTCAATACTTTTTGAAACTCGATATCCTTCACCTTTTGATCCTTTTTGAAACTTGATATTCTTTCTACTTTTGATCCTTTTTGAAACTCGATATCCTTCATCTTTCAATCCTTTTCAAAACTCGATATTCTTCATTTGAGATTCTTTTCAACTATTCAAAAGCACCACATCATTATCAACTATTGCAAGACAAGATGCCGAGACAATCTACAAAACAACAAATGGAACTTGAGGTAAAAGAAAGTAGAAGATCAGCGCAAATGTAAGTACAGTCTCTTTTCTGCTGTGATCAAGATCCAATTCACCTTTTGTTCTTTCTTTCTAGTGCAAACAGACAGGCCAGGCAAGCTGGACCGGAAGGCTTCAGTCCCAAGCTTGGCAGGGGTGGGACACCATATCATTACCACATGTAAGTTCTCTTTTTGATTCATCTCTTGATCCCAGCATTGTACAAAGGCTACAAAGGCTGATTACCTTCATTTCCGGTTTTTAGCCCCGGACACCACTGGGAAGAGGTCAGATTTGGCAGTCAACACCAATATCTTGACTCAGAAGTCATCCATATCAATCCATACAAGCATACCGGTCTCTGTGAGTTCCGCTGTAAGAACCATCTAAAGATTGATCCAGGTCAGTAGTTTCTTTTCTTTCAAACCTTTATCAGAGGCTTTAAGTTGATTTACATTCAACTTTAGATTTGGATATCAAGGTCTTTCCAGGTGGTTTAGCTTTCTCTACTCCGATGGCCTCTCAAGTTACACCTTCTGGATGGGGCATCATGGCGGGAGGACAGTGTGATTTGGATTCCAATCATAGGGATCCTTTGTTTGAAAATCAGGACTTCAAACCCCAACTTGACCCTGCTATTGGAGGTGTTTTTTTCCTTTTATCTTGCTCTTCAATACCAATAATATACTGAAAATCATGCCATCAGATCCACATATTTATGTGGATCTGACCCAATCACCAAATCCAACTCTGGGCGCCATTCAACCTCCTAGTGGACCAATTCAACCTCTTATCCCTATTTGTAGTTGCCTCTGCGTATAAGCCACTCACTTGAACCAGCATAGGGTATCACATTTTTAGCCCCAATCACCTTACCGATGCCGAGAAACACTCCAGGGTACCTGTAACATACGCGGACCATGTCACCAAAATACCTTTCAAAGCATCACAGTTTTACTCTCAACAATTTGAAGGAGTCTCTTTTCAAGGCGTGCAACCTCAACAAGCAACCTTGCGGCGACCTTCTC